CCCCGAATACGCCTAAGCAAGCCCCACTTGCTCAGGAATTGCTCATGAAGGAAAAGTCAAAGGTGAAGAAAAAGCAGTCCATCAAGAAATCAAATTATCATAAAAATAACAGTCATTTTTTCAAAGCGAAGAACGCCTGTCGTCGGCGCAGTTAGCGATAAGAGATACTATGTTAAATTAATTAATAATATCACCAGGTTCAATAAATAGTTATGCAACGTGAATTTTATTTCCTGCTTCCCAGTTTGTGTTACAAATTAGAAGTTATCAAAGCCGGTACAGGTAACGCCGAGTATGTCCTTCGAAAGTGTCCAAGTAAACAAATTATTGTTAATTTTACTTTTCCAATATGCTGGTGTTTGTGTTCTCCTTTTTTTCATCAGACGTTGATCCAAACCATGTGTTTGTAATCCTTTATGTGCGTCTACCTCTACTAGTGCAAAACTTCTGGAATATAAATAATATATCTTACTATGATACAAAATCATACTTGTAAATTCTGTGAGTTTGTATTGTAGTGGTGAGATCTCCTGACCTCCATTCATCTCACGTTATTAAGTGATAAAGCTATTGTTACGTTTTCATCCATTAGGTGTCATGTATAACACCTTCTCGCTTATTTTCCTAAACGTTTTAGAAAGTGATACGATCTCCCATTTGATAATATCATGGATGCTTATGTTGCTGCTTTGAAGAATTAAACATAATTGTAAAGGAGGAAGACGAGAAGGGATTTTTAATTATATCTTGATGTCTCGTTTTTTTTATTCATGTATTGGCTCAATATTTTATCCTACTATTTTATCGAGTAAAACATTAATAATACTATAACTTAATTTATGTTTGAAAACTTTGTGTAATTAGATTTAGTCTGATATCTATGTTATAAAGGATTTCTTTTTGTTATTAATATTTTTAGTAATTGCGCTTTTATCTCAACAAAATTTTTCACTTATGACGGGTAAATGGCCACCAATTCATTTACAAATTCTGAGTCTTACTACCTTCTTTTGTCACCTTTTCCTCCATAAATTAAATCCAAAGATACATAATCTCCGATATGAATCGTCTGAATTTTCTTTAGCACTTGCTGCGCTGAAATTACATTAAACATATTGCAGAGTTGTCTTGATGGATCCTAACCTGCTGTATATCCACTTTAGTGTTCATTCATTTATCTTCTGCTTCCACAAATCGGACTTGACTTTGTACGATATTTTTTTCTGAGAAAATTTCATAACACTTTTTTCGGGTTCCATGCGTTTATCCCTAAGATGTATGTTGTTCAGCTTTTAATCCATCACTATATTCCTCTCAATGAACCTCACTCACTGATGAGCGGGATGGATAAGTCAATCTATTCGATTATGCGTATATTACTCTAGATTTGTATTTCCTCTAATTAATTTTTAGCTGTTTGGACTGCTTGAGCAAGTAGCTTATAGGACAAGCATAGAAATACAACAAAACAGCTGAAAACGGAAGGGCAAAACCCCATAACATCCACCGTGAGACTGTGAACTTTCGTTCTTTTGTAAATAAATCTCAAATACTAGGATATTAAATAGCTTGACGCTACGAACATCCTTTTATATACAAAGGGTCCGCCCGTGGCTTTTAATAAATAAAAGTCAACAAAGGAAAAAATAAGTCATAGTCGTGGAAGTATTAATATTATTGATAATATCCTCTCCTCAATATATATATATATATATATATATATATATATATAT